TGTGTTTTTTATTCTATGGTTTTTATATTTATAAGGTGCACTGGGGATGGTATTTAATTTCATTGTATGAGATACAATGACAATAAAGTTTACAACAACAACTAATATTATTTCTTTTCAAGTCAGGTCACATTGATGGGTCACTGACCCAGACATCATTAAACAAAACAGAACAAAATTTACCTCCTTTCTTACATGATGGTGCATTTTATAGTAAATGTTGGCCCACAGAATTTAAAAAGCTCTTCTGTCACTTGATAAATAGGCCAACACTTCAAGCCTTAGTGTCTGAAATAAGTGTAGAAGATCAGACATCCCTTCCACACACTAGTACAAGTTCACAACTTTTCATCTGGTACTAGAAAACTTCAGATTGCAAACTTACACATAACACAGGTCTATGAAGACGTGGTAATGTAAACAATAGTTGTGAGGCAAAGCAACTTTGTGAAAGAAAACTATAGTGGGATGTTTATGATAATATTTTCTCCATTATATTTTGTAAAAAACTAAGCAGGTTATAGAGCATAGGTAACAAAATAGAAAATAGCAACTTGCTACTTTGGGCTACCACAAGAGACTGAGACAGCTGTCCAGGAGAATCAGGCCCATAGGTCAGTATCATCCCTAGAACATTGGCAGGGGAAACTGATACTTTAATAACAAATCAACAGACCAAATTCACACAGTTAACAATACTCTGAAAAAATAATTTGATTCTCTAAGAGATTCTGAAGGTAGAAACTAAATTATATAACTGGTGAAGAAGTTGCATTCCATAAGATCCATGAAAATTAGTTGCAAATTAGTATGAGTTTTCACATCTCACGTTTTCTTAAAGAATGATGGAAGTTTGAGTACAGGTGTTTCTACTCAACTTCCTATTCAGCATACCTCACTGGTTCACAGTTCTATAAAGCCATAAATATGGCTACATGAAATTATTATTTCAGAAGTATTATGAGTACAGGGCCTTCAGTAGGTGGCAGAATCTAGCTGACCTCAACTGATCCCCAAAAAGCTAAACACTATTAGATCTGGTTAGAATTTGAACAGGACATTGCCAGGAAATCCCAAGACTGCGGACTAGACTGGTAAGTCAAAACAAACATCCTAGAAGAAAACAATGACAAATTGTTCCTATATTGTTGCCATAAAGGCAACATGGACATGTTTGCTTAGGACACTAGGAGTCAAACTTGAATCAAAAGAGATCTTTATGAGGACAGAATTATCACACACTTTCCAAATTTCAGAAATGTTAACTAGTTCATGTAAAAATATGGATATATTAAAGTTTGCAAATAACACATACTAGAAACAATTATGAATATGTTTACAGAATCACCAAATAAAATGCAAAAACAAGTAAACAGTATTACCGGAAGACAGCTTTTTGACCCTGGGATGATTAGCAGCTGATACCGAAGGTGAAACAGAAGGTGTTTGCAAGGCAATGAAACTATTTTGGGAAGGTTCTGCTTCTAAGAAGTCTTTCTCCTTTGTAAAATTCTCCATTATTACACGGGTTGAATAACGTTCTAGTTCAACAGAAGAACAGAGTGAAACCAAAGTTAGAAGAAGCATAATATAAAAAGGTATGCAACTTTCAGGATAGAAGCTATGTTCCTGTCTTATAGCAAGTACCACAAAGATTTGAGTGCAGATTTACTATGGCATGTGCTTTGATGGGCTGTAAGGGGTGATGGTCCTTTAAGAGCTCAGGACATGCATAATGATCCCATAATATCATTATAAAATCAAGAGGTTTCAGTAGCACAGACACTTTTATCAGCTGCAGCTATTATGTTAACTACCAGCCACTCAAGATGAAAACAGCCTGGCCACACTTATCTTCCACAAACAACAACAACAAAGATGGCTGGCTGGAGCTGGAAGACTAAACTACATTACGACCAGAATTAATCAGTTTCCCTAACAAATTCCCAAGCTCAATTCCAGTTCTGGCTTTGATGTCTAAAATGCATATAGGTAGCCCTCAGATTACAACCATTCTTTCAGCAACTGTTCAAAGATATGACAGTGCTGAATGAATGGTACTTATGACCAGTCCTCAGAGTTCCAGCTGTCACAATGTCCCCATAGTCATGTGATTGTGATCCAGGCACTTGGTGCCTGGCTCACAATTATGACATCACAGCGAGCCATGGTCACATGATCATGATTTCTGATGTTCCCTGCCAGCTTCCCACAAGCAAAGTCAATGGGGAAGCCATCTGGAAGTCAGACGTTCTGTGATCACGAGGTCCTCACTTAACAAGCCATGCAGTCCTCAGGTTATGATAGCAACCAGGACTGCCAGAACTGCTGCTGCTAAGTAACAGTCACATGACATTGCTGTTTATGACCCCATTGCTTAATGATGAAAATTCCGGTCCAATTGCCATCATAACTCAAAGACTACCTGTAATGGCTTGAGACTAGGCTTCTCCCATATATATCTACTAAATCTCCTTTATGTGCTCCTATTATGTGAAGGGAGATAGTTACATTTTTGATGGAGATAGCTTAGCTTGTGGAATTACATCAACTATGAGTATCTTTTTAAGAGTTTTCTTGGTACAAGATGAATACTTTTAAAATAGTCTATGTCTCTTTGATCTTAAAGCACTGAATTATAATCCACCATTACCATGGTGTGGATTTTTTGCCACATGATTAAATTGGTTGTGGATGAAATAAAAATTAAGTTATTATGACTAACCTGCTCTAACTGATATTATTATTGGCTATTTATGATGTTCTACCTTACTGATTTTTGGACAGCCAATTAGACAACAGCATTATTGCTAAATCTTCCTATTGCTTTTTATTTATATCAGAATGTTTTACCCCAATAAAAGCTGTCATCTTCTCTAACTTCCTCACTTTTTTGGAGGTGCAAACACTCCTGATCTATTTTCTAGGACTGTGCAGCAATTTGGGTTTAAAGGGAAAAGGTGAGATGAAGCATAAAAGGGGACAAGAGTTGTACCTGTTGGCATCTCTATAAACAATGTGCCCTTTCTCCTGAGGTGGCAGGGCTGTCATGCAATCTCAGGTCAAGATGCATTTAAGTTAAGGAGGTATATACTCTGAATCCCCTTTTCTTTTTCATATCTAGATTTCCCTACAGCCATATTATTTTAATTCAAGCCTCAACCAGTAAGACTCACCTGCTTTGCAAAGCTTAACACCTGGTGCAAAGAACAATATATCATCCTCTTCTTGATCAGGTATCATACTGACATCTTCCACTGTTTCCCCAAACTGCAAAAAAGAGATGTTTGTGACATGCAGCATTTCTCACCGAAATCAATATATAATCAGTATCTGTCTAACGTTATTGTTTCAAGAGCATGTCTTTTCCTAGCATCTCTTTCCCATTTTAATCAATACAGGAGTCCAAAATTAACCCAAACAAATTGGAAAAAAAATTACAACTGCAGCTATTAATATTAAAAAAAGCCTCTCTTCTTTACTGATTTTTGTTCACATCTGCAGAAAGTTCTTTTATGATGAAGATTCAACTAGAAAGTATATCTGGATCTATGCTTTTAACACTTTAGTTTGTTATTTTTATGTATATATATATCCTCACAGTGAAAACATTAATAAAATTCTATACTTTATATATTAGTTTGTATCTGATTTTTTCTCATTAAAATTCTTAATTAAAATGAAAATGAATTAAAATTAAATGCTTTACTTCAAGTCACTTAAGCCCAATGTAAGATCAAGGAAGTATCTTTCCCAATCACAGGAAAATAATTTATATCCCTAACTTTCACACAAAGTTTTCTAAGCAATTCACTACCAGCCAGAAATCTAGTGGCATATCAAAGACATATGCTTTCTCCTCCATTTGAAAGTACATATAATTATTAGTCTATTAAAAAGATATCCTGTTATCAAGGGAGAGAAAGATTTAAACAGAAGAAAGAACATGAAGCGAAATATACCAATTTAGTAGCGCTATATTCTTTCTCCATTCTTTCTGCCAAATTTTGTAAGTATGATAGTTGTCTATCCATTTCTTGTAGTTTGCCAGAAAAATGCTGTCTACTGATCTTTTGGCCTAACAATCCTGTGTAAACATTGGGAAAATCCTCACAAAGGAGACGTGAAGTAAGATCATCGCCAGCAGTTTCTTCCTCTGTTATTCCTGGTGGTAGTAGAGACAATTCAATTTGAAGACTATATTCTTTCAATCAAACAAAGAAAACAAGTGCCAAATACTTCCCAATGCAGCCAATTACAGGGTTTAATGAAAAGTTACAACAAAATTTTATTTATCTACAAAATTTCAAAGTTTCCTCACAAAGTGCTAATAAGCTGTCAGAGTAGAGAGAGAGAGAAAATACATTCCCCGTGTATGAGATTATACATGATTCCCCGCTCCCCCACCTGTGTATCCCTGGGTACATTTTAAAAGCAAATGTTGCAAAACAAAAGCTGTAGATGTTTACCTTCTCTCTTAAATTCTTCCAGTGGTACCACATTGCTAACAGAGGCTGCTGGAGAATGCGGTCTTGTAGAAGCTGGGAATTCAGGCTTCACAGGTGGTGTGACAATAGGCTGTGCACCAGGCTCAGATATAACTGGAAAATTCTTGAGAAGATCTCCAGCCTCTATATCGGTCACACTGATATATCTCTGTTCAGCCTACACCATATATTTAAAAAAACAAACAAACCACAATTATAGGTAGCAAACTGTTAAACTATTAAATATTTATACAACTGCCCTGAAGAACTGAACCTTTCCTCCCGTAAGTGACAATTTACTGAATAGTTAGACACATGGTTGCATTTTCAGGAGACATTTCTCATGACTGACCAAATCAGATGAAGATGGCAAAGGCTTCTCTGTAGTTTCACTGGATGATTTAACATTCAGATACAACTCTGGTGGCAATGTCTGAGGAACGCAAGAAGGCAACAGTTCTACAGAAGAAAAGAACATGGTTAAAAGTCCCAAAGGTAGGATGTAGCTTGGTGAGCTGAAAAAGCTATTTGGAAACTTAACCAGCATTGCTATGAATACTGAAATGTTGAAAATGTAATTGCAGAGTAAGACATTTTTTTTGGACATGTAAAGCAAGGGTAGGCAAGTTGACTTCCAAGGTCGTGTGTGCTTCCTGAAACTCTTTTGTTATGGCCCATGGAGTATCTTTTGACTACTTTTGCTGAACATTGATGGCATGGTTTAATCACCATTTAAACCATGGCATCATGGTTTAGGAAATACATGTACATATATAAAAAAATTGTGATGTGAGCCTTAAAATAAATTTAACATACTAAAAAAGAATTGAGCCTCACCTTCCCAAATTATGAATAAATACCAGAAAATCCTGTGTTTGGGTAGGTGCTTAAGGTACATCTTTGCTTCCTTGCTCTACCCAGGGTGACCTTTACCTTGCCCCCAAAAAGGAGTTGGGTATGACCACAGCCACCAAAAGGCTGTTCTTAACCTTTCCTGAGGTCCAATGAGGACATACAACTGCAGGGATTCCTATTTTCTCTAATAGTGAAAAAACTTCTGAACAGATATTTTAATTTCTAAACTGCAGAAACAGAACAAACAATACTCAGCCTGCTTCGGACACACCAAAGCCCTTATGTATACCAAAGACATTAAATGTAATTTTAAGTGCAAGTTTAACATTTAATATTAATTTCAAGAGCTCTCTATTTTGGCCAACTATCACAAGTTATGCAGCTAACAGAACAGTAACGTATAAATCAACAAAGGACGTATTATATAATATTCATAAAAACAGGGGCTCCCCATCTTTTGGATAAAATAAAATACTCCTTTGGACAATATTATAAAATTGTAGTACATAGCATCTACTTTTTAAAATTTAAAGACAGTGAAATCCAGAAATGTATTTTCACAAAATAGATAAACAGAAAGCACACCTGTTGCAGAAGCAGAAGCAGAAGCAGAAGCAGAAGCAGAAATGATTGGCTGATTTTTACTAGTTTCAGCATTTATTTCTTCTGAGACTGTTTGAACATCCTGATGTGATTTAAGAACTTGATTGATGAAAAAAACATATATAAAGTCAGAAAGCTTTTAACAGATAAAATATTCTATTTCTCATACACAAAAGAGTTATTCCTGGGGATAATTAGATTTTATCAGAAATACTGAGTATCTTATAGATAAATTTAATTTATTAAATTTAAAGTAAAAAAAATCAATTTAGAGCAGCTTGTTTCATGAATGGATGAGCTCCCTTTGCTGGCTGTTTAGCAGTATCTCTTGCTCCCAGGCAGGAAGACTGTTTTGGTCAGTTCCCCATAAAATAACCTCTGGTGAGGTTTTGGTATTCTTATCAGAATTGTTATGAGATCAATGGCAAAATTTCTGAACTCTCACAAGATCTGGTCAGTTTTGGCTTTATTTAATTTTATGGGTCCATGTTGCTTATCATTACTATACAGTTTCCTGCAGCTCCTCTCTAATTCACTCCTGGGGATAGATTTTGGGAGAAGAAAATAGCAGTGGGGGAAAGTGGGACTCAATAAAAAAGAATTTTTTCTCCATTTTGTGAGCAGAAGCTCGTAATACAGGTCGTGAAACTCTGGATCCCACCAGGATAAATATTATTTATTTATTATTGAAATATATACTTTTGAGCTTCTTCAAAAATAATTTAAAAGAAAACATACCTGTTACAGATGCAGCAGCAGAGGTAACTGACTGATTTCCAACAGGTTCATCAATTAATTCATCTGATACAGTTTGTATATTCTGATGTGATTTAAGAACTTTATTCCCAAGGGAAAAAAATAAGATCAAAATGAATCAAGAGGAGAATGTATTCTGCCAAATCATTATAAAGGGAGCTTATTCAGGAGTGAAAGGTTAGATAATTTTGCAGAACAGAACAAATTTCAAATGCAGAAATGAAAGTATCTGGATGGGCATTTATCTTCTACAACTGTTACCTGGCAATCCAGCATTCAACGTTATTTAAGAAAATTGACATAAATTCATGCTCTTTGAGAAAGTAAATTACTTTAATGGGAAACCATTTCATTTTCAAAGCTTTAAAAAAGCAATCAGAATAATTTCTTGCAGGTGTTTTACCAGAATCTGTATTTGTGCTAGCATCTTGAAGATCTGCAGTCTTTTTTCCTACAGAGGCCAGGTAATGTAGTGCTGCCGATGAAATATATGTATCTGATTCTAAAATAATAGAACACAGGATTATTATCCAATTCAAAAACAAAAATATTATTTCATAAGCTATTGCTAATTGTATCACTTCAGCCATTTGCCTGAAATTGGAAAAAATCTAATATTTGATCAGGGGTGTTTATGAAGAATATGGGCAGTACCCATTTTATTTCCCTTCTTCCACCAGTCTGCCTACTGTATTTGTATTTATATTTGTCACCTGCATTTTTTAAAAAACTTTCTAACACTGAAAACAGGTATCTGAGATCTGATAGCAACTCCCTTCCAATGCTGTTCAGAACAACATTAGGTCCTGATATAACATTGTTCTAAAGCATGTTGCAGTCAGTAAAGCTGGATTTTGTAGTGGGGGGGGGAGGGAGGGAGGGAGGAGAGGGATAAAAAAACCCCAACATAATAAAGCTTTGCTGCCAAATGCTAATTCCTCCTAAACCTGGATATATTCATGTTCCATAAAATCATTCAAAAGCCTCTAATCCAATTTCTGTGAAGGAAGTTTAATTACTTTAGATATAGCAATAAATCTGGGAATTACAGCCGATTTTAAGCTGATATTTCATTATATCCTTAATACCAGAATGAGAAATAAATCTGCACTTCCCTGTGCTGTTCCAGGCAACTATCTGTTCAACTGATGGTGAGAAGAGAATTGTCCTTCCTGGGCAGGAGAAGCATGATGGATTTTTCCTTCCCACCACCAAAGGGAATCCCTAAAGATTTGGCTTCCACTCCTCAGTGTTCAGGAAGATGACAAGCTTTTAATTATAGAATCGGCTTTAATGATTATGATTTTTAATTTTACCTATGATTTTAATTGGGATGTATCGTATGTATTTTTATGTTTTATAATCTGTATTTGAGTGATGTGTGGACAGAAAAATGGGATATCAATTCAGTACATCCATAAATAATAATTACTGTATTCCCTCTTACAGTGACCACAATGTTCTTTTAATATACTTTAAGGGGAAATTGGTAGAATGTATTAGCAGAACAGAAATATGCAGAACTCTAAGCCAAGAACCTTTTTGAAAATGCATCTCTGATTTTCAAAAAATGTCACCTGTTGTGGGAGATGGGCGGCATACAAATTTAATAAATAAATAAACACACACACACACACGCGATTGCACTGTCGGTAAAATAACTTAAATACAGAGCCAAGACAGATTTCTGAAAGTTTTCCATGAATCATTTGAATGCAGACTGGGGGCTGCTAGTGAGAAATTCCATACACAGATTATATAGGTAACCAATGCCATTCAATACAAAATTGTGATACACTGGAAAGAACATTCAATCTTTCAACATAATTTTGCTGAAAAAAACTTACTCAGTAATGAATTGTCATCACACTGGCCAGATATTAATTCTGCTTGGTATTCCTAATGCAAGAACAAGCATGGTTAAATGCATACATGTGATTTAATGCTATTAATATACTTCAATATACTAATAGTATTTTTCAGTGTACATTGCTATGAAACAAGAAGAGTAGATTTAATTACAGTCCCAAACCAATAAAACACAAATTCAGAATTTAAAATACAGAAACACCAATAAAACACAACATTTAAAATACAACCCCCCCAAACCTGAAACAATTAATAATGATAAGAGGATATCACCAGGCTTCTGCAACCCATAGCTATTGCAAGAAACTTGGTAACCTTTGTAGTGGTTGTCCAAATCAGGTCTTGCAGAAGGAAGACCGTAATTTCTTGATCAGAAAGACAACTAAACTTTCTGATAATCAAGTTTATGAGTGCCAGACACCATGGGTGGTACAATGTGCAGCATAGGAATACATGGATTATTGACACTACCTCTATATCTGAGCAGAAATGCATATGATTGTTGTGTGGGGGGAGAATGGTGTATTTGCCTATAGTCTCCATAACAGGTAGTGTGCCAGTTCGAGCCAAGGTAAAAAGTCTCCTGTGAGAAATATTCAGGATGTTGTAAAGGCGGATAGGATCCATCCATGGAGAACCTGCAATTGCCCCATAATAGGGATGGATGATTTTGGCCCTGTCATTATGTAAATCTAAGTTCCAAATCCTCTGTTTGAGTTTTTGGACAGGGCCAAGAGACAATATTGCCTTCAGTGAAATGCCACAAAATGCTAGACTGGAATCAATTTGCCTCTTCAGGGATGAGGGAAACCTATCCAATAGAGTGAGGCGAACTAATTTGCTAATTTCCCATTTAACAAGGGTCTTAAACACATTTTAGAGAAAACTAGAACTTTAGTTTTGGAATAACTGATTTCAAGAAATTCCCTAGAACAATAGGACAGTAAAACAACTAGGCATCGACAAAGGCCCAGTTGGGTTATGGATAAGATGACCATGTTGTCCGTGTACAAGAGGACTGAAACAAGTAAATGTGCTACAGGTAATCCTCGAGTCACAACAGCAATTGGGACTGGAATTTCCGTCACTAAGTGATGCAGTTGTAAAAGCATGATGTCACGTGACCCGCAGTCCCTGTTGCCATCGTTAAGCAAGGATTGTGGGCTGTTAACTGAGCACCTTCTTGCAACTTCCTGCTGGCTTCCAACAACAAAAGTCAGCAGGGGAGCCAGCAGGAAGTTGTAAATCCAAGGTAGTTTGCAAGCAGGCCAGCAGGCAGGAAGGTGGCTGCTGCCGGGTGGGAGAGGGAGTGAGAGGGTGTGTGGGTGGCTGGAGAGGCGCAGTGCGAGTGTGGCAGGGCTTAGGGTGGCTGCTGCCAAGTGGGGGTGCATGAGTGGCCAGGAAGCTGCATGAGTGGCCAGGAAGGTGCGGTGCAAGCGCAAGGCTTAGAAAGAGTGTGTGAGGGTGCACAGGTGGCAGGGGAGGCGCAGCACAAGTGCTGCGCGGCTTGGGGTGGCTGCTGCCGGGTGGAGGAGGGTGCACGAAGATGTGCAAATGGTGGGGAAGGTGCGATGGAAGCTCAGTGAGGCTCAGGGAAGCTGCACAAGTGGGGAGGAGCAGCACAAGCACGGCAGGGCTTGGGGTGGTTTCTCTGGGTAGGCGAGTGGCCAGGGAGGTGCGGTGTGAGCACAGTGAGGCTCGAGGAGGGTACGCAGGTGGAGGAGACTTACTCGAGCAACTTCCAACCTTCCATGCCGGCTTCCCCATTGATTTTGCTTGTGGGAAGCCAGCAGGGTAGATCACAAATCGTGACTATGTGACCGTGGGATGCTGCAATCACCATAAGTGTGAGCTGGTTGCCAAGTGGTCAGATTGTGATTATGTGACCGTGGGGCCGATGGGACAGCTGGAACTTTGAGGACCGGTCATAACCACCACTTGTTCAGCGCAACTGTTCATAACTTTGAACAGTTGCTGAATGAGTGGTCGTTAACCCAGGACTACGTGTACACTTTTCAATTAACATACTACCTAGTTGGCATTTTCCATAACATATCATTTCACTGCATTTAATTTGCTTCTGTGACTCCCACTGTCAGTTTAAAACAATGCACAGGAAATATATGAAGCTGTGAAGTTCAAATGTACTATATGCTGAATAGTTTTCTCAATTTGGAAGGTCTTACACATTCTGAGCAAGATATTATATATTTTAGCAGAATGCTTATTTCTTAAATTAAATAGGGATGACAGAATATTTTGTCCTAGACTATTATGTACTTGACTATGCTAAATTTGTCTTTATAGACAAATGAGATTTTTTTCTGGAATATTAGCAAACACAAATCAAGTCTGTAGTTACAGAGTGAAAATGAATGAATGAGAAAAAAAGTAGACTAGTACATCACACTTTGTATACTATACTTTATCTTAAAACCAAACAATATAATGAAGATAATTAGCAATTAACATTTTCTTATCGGTTACCTTTGTTTGCTCTACAGCATCAGGAAAAACTGCAGAATTATCTTGTTGATTAGTCACAACGGCTTTCATCCTTTCTTCCTTCTCCTTGATCTGATTTTTAATACGTCTCTTCTGTCTAATATAAAAGCATGGAAATATGTTGTTTGAAAAACTCCCAGAATGTTCCAGACTCAATCCTATTCAACTGGCATGGGCCTCCAAAGCAGAATGATAGCTCTGCTTAGACTCTGGTAGATTCAAGAAGCTGGTGTTGGGCATATAACAAGCAATTTTGGGGTGATGCTGTTAAAGTAATACGAGAATAGAACTAGCTACATCAACTATCAGGTTACATAGTAATCTAATCAATATTTTCTTAAAATATGGAGAAACTACACTTGCTCTATTTTCCAACATTTATTACTTTATAAAATGTCTTTCTTTAGTGCAAAAACTAACACAATTACAATCAGATTTGGTAGACAGGATTAAATGTTTGGTTTTACCTTTTTTTATTACTCCTAACTTGTCTTGCTTCACTCAGTTTAATATTAGCTTTTAATAGCTGGATCTGCTTAGGATGGTCTTTATGCCCTTGGTGTGGGTCTTGAATGAAATGCTGGCTTTGTTCAAATGCAATGAGATCTTGAAGTGGAATGAGTTTCGGTATCTGAAACTGTTCATAAAACAAAAGAGAACATGCCATAAAATAATGTTTCTCTTTCAATACTTGGGGAGTAAATCAAGTTGAGAAATATTTCATTTATAAACTTAAATGAAAGTGCTGTTAAGACACTTTAAATTAAAATAATATACATATTTATAAAATCCATTACCTTGGTTAGTGGAGGTAAATTAGCATAAAGCAATGGTAATCCTGTCTGTTCAAGGGGTCCTCTGGAATCTGTATTTTTTGTTGTAAATCTGATTGGTAAACCTTTGGATTTGGGGCAGGTCTTCAGATATAGCAAAGGAATTGCAGTAAAATTTCTGCATGTTTTATGTAAATTAATTTCATTGTCAACCAATGGTTTTTCTGCCTTTAGACGTTCATGGAAGTTTTGTAATGGTGCTACATCTTCCTTTTTTCCATATTCATCTAAAGGTAAATGTTTGGAAGTCTCTTTCTTGACTGTTTCTATCCAATGGTTTGTCTGCTCTTGTGCTTGTTTTATAACATTTTGGTCATAATGATTCAACTTTAGATGTGCTCTGGACTCATTTGTGGGTCCTGACATCTGCAAACTTGGAGGATCTTGTGCCAGAGCTGAAGGGGGATCCCAGGCTTCTCTTTGTCGTGAGAATGGTCCAGAGGAAACTCTGGGGGGGCTTACTAGGCAGAAATTGAGTGGCTGAAATTGATGGCTTGTTTTTAGCTTAAGCAAAGGAAAACCCTCTATGGTATTTAAGGGTTTTGCAAACTGAATAAGCTTTGGTTTCTTCTCAGCACTTAGGGAAGCAGATAACAGAGGAAGTGGCCTGGCTGGATTCTGATGAGGCGGGCTTTGAGGTGGTAGAATCAATCTTGCACCAACAGACTGACTCTCTCGTAACACTGAAGAATCACTGAAGTGCACAGGTTTCTAAATAAGGCAAAATATTACACTGTAAGATTTTTATTATAGTCATACTTGCTGAATATATTCAACAAAAACCTTGAATATGAGCTTTTCACTTTAAAAATTTCAGCAACTCACCATGTTATTTCCATCATGGTTCTGATCAGGTAAGTTCTCTTCTTCCTGAGGACTGCTATTTTTCTCACCAACATTCCAGTTGTTTTCCAGAGTTGGTATCTGATGGCCAGTATGTTTTTGAACACAATCTGCTGGCTGTTTGTGGGGAGATCGATGTATATTACTCTCTTCCGTGTTTGAAGCCAGGCTTCTTCCTAATGGAAAGGCCTGCGGCTGCTGAATCTGCTGTGACACATTTGGCAAGTTGGCAAATCCAACTATTTGCATGAGGCTCATATAGTTAATCTGCTGCAGCTAGAACATAAGAAATTAATATTTGCTGAAAATTTCTCTTAGCTAAAATCTGTTAACTAAATATTTGCAACTATGCAATTATCCTATTAAAACAGGTAACAGCCAAAATATTATCCTGCTTCAGTAATCACAGTGTTATCATCCTAACGCATCAGCTTCAGAAAAGGTGCACAGTAATTTAGGAATGTGAGATAATGTTAAGGCCAGCAAAATCAGGAGCTGAATAATACCAAACATTCTACTGCACATCCATATATAACACTAAGTCAACAGCACAGTTTTAACTTATATTTGAAGTACAGGTAGTGTGTATCTAGAATTTTCATTACAATATGCTCACTCTCATCTGGAAAAAACATTTCCACTATTCAGAAGCCCCACCACCTGTGCCACACTTCCACTTTGTATATCTAATGCACAGAAAGGTAAATAGGTTTGTTCCAAGTGGGCTTACTTTCAGCTGTACCTCTAATCTCTATGTGGTCAGCAGAATATTTCAAGAATAAAGACACTCTGGCTTCAAACTCAACTTGCAGCAATGTGTTATTCTTGGCAGCATTACCGAATCGGTCTGCCATCATCCTCTGGGATATTTAGCCATCAACCATTCTCTTCTCAGTTTAGCCATCAGCTAAAGTTCCAACCAAGTACCAACCAAGCTTGATTCTGCCTAGTTTCCAAGGTGAGTCAGGGTTGGCTAGGTGCTACCAACTTCTGAGGCATGGAGGTGTGTTGGGCAAAATATTTCTAATGCAACTGGTTATTTTGATCTCACTGGAAGCATTCTGAACTCAAAGCAGGCTTTTCTGAACTTGAAAAACTTCTAGCAAGGTTGGAAGAGCCCTGGGATGCTTTTGGTGAGAGTGAAACAGTCCATTTTAAGCTCAAAATATTTCAAACTCAAAATGTTTCACATACTTCTACAAAGGAATGTCTTTTGCTATGTTCTGAATTTTGTTTGAGAATCTTTTAAAGAGTTTAATGTTGAGAAAACCACTGGCTGACTGTTTACTTTCTATAGCAGTTTAGAATTCCTTTTTAAACCGTTTTCTTAGAATTGGCTTGCAACTCAGTTTTTGTATTTACAGAAACATTAGTTCTGGAATCCTTTGCCCCCCCCCCCCGCTTTTAACTTTGAAATGCAAACTCTCAAAGACAACATACAGGGCATATAGGGGACAATATAGTGGTTTCTTAACATGAGAAGTACTTAAGAACTTCAAGATCTAATGCATTTCAAAGCATCACCCATTTTTGTTAAAAAACATAGGTATGACCTGAATTCCCACTGGAAACCAAAGTAGCGTAAAATCTCCAAAGTTATAGCATGCGTGCACACACACTTTTCCTAAAAAACGTTATTGTTATTTTAATAACTGCAAGATAAAACTCTATGGTCCTATAATTATAAGTCTAAATATACTCCAAACTACATACCTGCTGTTTCTTAGAAAGTACAACCCCATAGAGAACAGTCAATTCCCATTTTGTCAGGATTCAGTTCCTGTCTTGTCATGATTCTACTGGCCCTCTTCCACCCCATCACTGCATCCAGACCCTGATTCAGGACATATACAGCTTTTCCTACTTCAGATTTTATGCAGTAAAAATGTTATCAGCATTCTTAAAATTCTTCATACGTAATTCTAGCACTTTCCTACAGACGACAAATAGCACTGGGGACAAAACTGTGCCAGGGTCCTGAAGCCCAGGTACCTAATTCTATTCTCAAAGACCATCCCCACAATCAGGAGCAGAAACTCTGTATAGTGCTCCTATCCCTCGACTCTTGAAGACAGTCCAGCAAGATATCATGGTTGATAGTTAATAACAGCTACCAAATGATCACACAGGGTGAATACAGTCACACTCCTCCTGTTTCTTTCCAACAGGATGTCATCAGACCATGGCAGATTATGTTCCAAAACTAAAAAAACAACAACACACCACTCTTAAATGCACAGAGGCTGGTTTCCTTATGCAATGTATCTAATTGTCTCATACTTATTGAGGAAAAACCAGATAATTTTGCTTTCATTTCTGGGGATTTTTTTTTTAAATGCATCATCTTAAGAATTTTCAGTTGTTCTTTAAATTGAAACATTTTATTTTTCTTTGACAGAAGCAAATTACTGACTTCTCTCCATCTTTAGCAACGTTAATGAAGCCACATCAGCATTTTTTAAAAAAATGGTGAAATCAAGTGTTTGTTGAGAGAAAGATACATGCATACTGTACACAGATGGGCTCGGGAAACAGGATTTATGCTAAACACACAGAGGCAGAGATCAGGTTCAAACTGATGCTAGAGGTGAAGTCATGAGACACAGCCTCAATTGCTTTTCTATGCATCAGATTTTTATGCCTCAGCATCTGCCATATAAATTGGCTATGAATCCTATATAAGTCATCTGAGTAACAAGCAGCTAACTAAATGTGATAAACAAACAACACAGGAGTAATAAATTAATGTAATATAATGATGAGTCTGGTATTGTCTATACTACAGACAGATAAACTATGCTACAGACATATAAACATCCTTAGAACTTCATTGATTTCAGTCAATTTAGTAAAATCTAATCCATATGCTTATATTTTTCATAATGATACATTTTCACCTGAATCAACTTAAACATTTCATCTTGTAGCATTTGCCCGACAACCTCTGAGGTGTTTGGTGGCTGTGCTGTTGTTTCTTTTCCATCAACCATCTCTTTTTCTGCACCAGCATTACTTGAAAGAATGTCTGACACAACAGTGAAAGAAGGCCGATCCTCTGAAACAGTGATGTCTACACTGCAGAGATAAAATGGGAAATAGTCTGTGATAAATACAGAAATCAAGATTCTGACTCTTTTCTTAAATATCCAATCTATACAGAGTCTAGTTCTGTAGAGGTGTATACAAGGTCTGAAATACTAGGAACAAGCCACTCCAAAGAGAACCAAACTGATCGCATATTTAGGATGTATCTAATTTTGTTAATGATTTAAGAACATTAAATAAATAGTTCCTGCTTAGGATGTGACTTGGCATATCTATCCAGAGTGGATCACAGGAATACCTGACTGTGTGAAATGGCTATCATGAGCAATCCCTAAGTAACAAAAGGCATGAAAGCCCGTTTGCTTTGAAAGCCAAGCTGTGTAAGCTGCATACTGGTAAACCCAGATGTAAAATTACAAGAGGAACATGAGACAATAATGTTCTTTTACATCTGATATCTCATCTGTTTTATTGGTGAGGAAGTGTATGTTTCTCCTTAGGATTTTTATTCTCCTCCCCAAATTGACAATGACATTCTTTGAGTAATTACACGTATGTCTCCAGTTAGTCTTCCGTAAATCAACATTATATACACAATAATCTCTCATCATAGCATCAGCCGCAGTTCCAGGTGGCTGATAATAATTAGCTATTACTCTGTCAATTTAAATTCCTCCACCTGGAATTATTATTCAAACATACTATTGTAGGGTAGGAATTAAATACTGGCGCCTCCCCCACATCCCTAAATGCCTCCCAGTCTTCCTGGGGATCCCCAGTTATTCCAGGGCAGTTCAGAAGTAAACCTAAGGATAACCAACCATCTACTAATGACAACTGATCATAAACTTCTGAAATACTGATAATTTTTAATTAAGGGGACAGATTATAGACAGCATTTCATAAACTTCAGAGAATAATTTACCTAGATGTTTCTGCCCTCCTTTCAGGGCAAAATGAAAGAGAAACATCACTGGGAACTACCTCACATGTAGTACTGGAGATACAATGAGAAAGATACATAATACTTTTAACACATGATAAATCTTGATTTGAATGCATATGAATGAATTTTAACTAAATTATTTTAATTAAAAGTTTCAAATGTATTACTTACTATTCATTCTTTATCATAGCAGTCAGCTTTTTTGTAAATTCTGTTTTTAAACAAACACTGTTACCTTGTTCACAACTTTGGACTGTTTACATTTGGTCTCTGTAGCCAGTAGTAACTAACTGAACAAAAACATCTATGGGCTAAATGCTAGGTTGAAATAATAAAAGGTAACTGCTCAACAAAGAGAAAAAAAAAAAGGAAATCAGTACTGTTAAATGACCAAAAGTTAAATTTTTAAAGGGAGTCCATATATACTTTTCTTTGAAAGGACAAATTACTCATTTAAACCATTAACAAAAACATCATTAGCTGTTAGGAATGGAAAAACAAGGGGAATAAAATTAAGGAAGAACAATTTTATGAACCTTCATCTTTGGAAGATGTCTGCTTCTGTTGAGTATATTTAGAAAAGTATTTAAAAAGTATATTAACAGTATATTTAGAAATACATTTATTGATGAAAGTTGTGAATAAAAGTAACACTGTAGATACAAAAGAATAGAATCCAAAGATTGAAATTTTAAAATAAAAATAAACTACATGGTTTCTTAGAACAAAGTGCGTGATGTAGGTTTATTGGCCACACATATTCATATGCAAATACAACTTCTACATCTATAAACATGAATATGTTTCAATATCCCTACCAAATCTGGGATTTTTTTTTCTGGAAAACTAATACACAGGGCCATAAAGAAATATTCTTCTCCATGTGTATATGAAACCTAAGTCAAATAAACAGAGTTCTCTCAAACATATTATCCTTATCTCGGCTCTAAGAGTACTAATGGAAAGAATCAGAAGAAATTAAACAGGTGTGGGGGTGGGAGGGGGGAGGGATTTTGAGGAATTTTAAGGAAACTTCACAAGTGGCCATGATACAATGTTTGCAATGGAAGGTGTAGCTAGTCATAATATACACATTTGTAGAAATGCAAAATGTTAAGACTAAAATACAGGTAATTTGCCTTCATATCTGAATGCAAGGTAGAATATCAGCCAGAAGTTACAAACCCATATCTCTAAATATGCAACTCCTTATTTTATTTATTTATTTATTTATATTTCAAATTTAGGTACCGCCCATCTCACAAAAAGCGACTCTGGGCGGTTCACAATAAAACAGCAATAAATATTAAAATACAATAAACAGCAATAAATATTAAAATACAATAAAACAATAAAAATACAATAAAAACAATTATTCAAGATTATCACTCCCATTAAAACACACACAATATGACAGTCTACTCTGTCATATATACATCATACATGAGATCCACTCATACTACAAACCTAGCAAAGTTCACTCAACTAAGTTACTGATTTCTCTCTCACAATCACTACTCTCACTTATGCAAAACTCTCCAAAATACATGCACACAAAATATTTTCCTTCTCATGCCTTCCTAAATGATTCCTTTGCTCTTCTTAGTTTTCCTGAGCCCAGCCCCACCCTTTCTTTTTCCTTTTCCATGTATCAGGTCATTCTTAGTCCTGACAGCTTTCCTGCTTGACACATCCATGTTCAGTTGCCCAAACATGCTTTCCCTACTAATTCCTCCTCCTCCTCCATCAAATAATTCCCAGCTCTTTGCCATTCTTATTCCTATTCCCTATTGTCATTCTTAGCCTCTCCTCTTATTAGCTAGTTGTCACTGGATCTGACCTTTTCTTTGTTCCTGAGCAGCTGAGAGTACTTCAAAGTGAAGGGCAGGATTTCAGCTGTCTTTACTTCCTAGCCTACCTCTGGATTCATGTGGGGTCCAGAAGATTCAGGAGAATAAAGATGTCAAGCTGGAAGTACTTCATTGTGAAGCACTCCTGGCCATTAAAAAGATATGCTATTATTGTTATATATTAGGAAAAAAATCATAAGTATTAGCAGGTAGTATGTGGGTACAGATCAGGGCCTCCTACTCCTGATGGAGAGCAAGGCTGTAGAACTACTTAAGACATAACCTGCTGGTTAAATTCTGATACATACTCATAATAATCAAATTAGCAAATAAAAATAAAGCAAAGAATAAAACACATAGACTTATGGATATAGAGAGTATTAATTTCTCTCACCCATCCAGCTTTGTGTATTTTCCCTCAGATGTTTCCATTAAAGGTTCATCCTGTTGACATTCTACTTTTAATTCAGGAAGCTGCTGTGATTTAAAAAGAGCATTTAAGCATACGTGAACATGTTATCATTCCACCACTTTAAACTGATAAAATTTAGTATTTATTTATTCCACTTAATACCCTGTTTTTCAGTCAACCGTTGGAGTTCCTTAAATGATTAGTACTGTGACAGTGACATGTAACCAAAGTTATATGTGCTCATATAATATACAATATTGTTATGAATATCTTCTAAAAAGTCTAGTTTGCAGTGTTATTTTACAGATTCAATATCTAACAAGTTTGAAAATAAACAGAAACTTAAGTGAGTAACCTTTTTTTGATGGGGGAAGGGAAAACTAAGGACTACTTTCAGTCCCTTATAAGGACTGAATTTAAAAAAAAAAAAGGGAATTTGGAAAAAAATGGAGCAGGGCCAGAGGTAAAATATCCACAAATGGTTAGTTTTCAATCAATTACTAAATTTTATTCAACAGAAACCTACAGGCATTAATTATACTTGGTGCAGCACCCTGAGTGCTTATGAAAATTGCTACAGAATTGTCATTTTTAATGGGGCAAAAGGGGCACTCATTAAGTACACAGGGAGTAATCATATCATCAACTTAATTAATTATAATTTACTGAACATGTAATTATATTTTTGATAATTTGGGTCCTAAAGCCAACTACTCAAAGTCTGTCTCCTCAGTTTAAAAAAGCTTGTCCTAGTTAAAAATTAAAATTCACTGACAACCACTAGCTCTTTCCATAGTAATGTCCAAAGAACCTCAGAATATAAAGACATAAAGTCAAAGAAACCTTGTTTGAGAGGCAGGGTCTGAAGCAGAAAACTTCAGTTTTGGTAGTGAATTAAAGTTGAGTGATAGTTTATAGCTTATTAATGAAGTATCATGGGCATTTATTTGATTTGGGAAATAGAGACCTACAGATTTTTGCTTGAAATGTTCAAGTCCAATAACTTTTTCACAAGTGATGAGCTATTGTGGCCCTTTCTAGTTTTGGTAGTGAATTAAAGTTGAGTGATAGTTTATA